GTGATATTTTTGAGCTATCTGGGAACCAACACCCACCTGTCTCAGTTTGTCAAGTGCCAACAAGCTTTCGACGTTTGATATCCCTTTACTGTATCGCCGTAGAACCGTTTCGTCTTCTTCTTCTTCGCCAACAGCTTGAGCGGCCATTTGCGCTAGACTCGCTCGCTCTTCTGTCTCCTCTCCTGGTTGCTGTGGTAATTTAAAGATACATTAACAAGAGTGAGTCACGTGGGGTGGCATTTTAATAATCTTCTTTAATAATCAATTATGTTTTGCAAACAGCAAGAGAGAAGTTGCGGTATAACCGACGTTTCGTATGGACTAATAAAACTCGTAGTAACGACGATGAGTACATACGTTGCGCAACTGCAAATAGAGGCTTTGCACCATCACGTTATGGCAGCCATGACAGGAGACAGGAACAATGGAATCTGGTCTAATCTGATTCACATGAAAAAGAATTCACTTTCCTAGAGTACAAAAACTCCTGTCATTGGCTGTCTTCACGTGATGGTGGAAATCCCCTATAGCACCTAAGCAATGTTTATGATTGTAAAGCGCATTCTGGTAAAACAGGTAAAGTAGAACTCTTTCATCCTGGCATACAGTCACCAAGGGGACCAGAGAAAGTGTCCGAATTAACAAGGTGTCCGTGTGAAGCGAGCTCATGTAAGAGTATAATGGTAAATGCCATGCACTGAGTCAATTATGCATATATCCATTAAGTATATATTACAAGGTTCTACAGCAATTATTGATTTAAAGGGGACACGACTTACCCGAGGTATGTGCGAAACGAGCTCGTAAACCACACCACAGGTATGTCGATATTCCTGGTGACCAAATAAATCAAAAGTTAAAATCAAATGGAATGACGAATTTTAGGGCTCTTCACAATCGAATATGTTTTTGTCTACTATACTCTCGATTTTAACCCACCTTTGTTAGCCTTCTTAAGAGGCTGTCCTTCCAACTCTGTTTCTTGTATATTCTAATGCAAATTCTCTTCCGAAGAACCAACTCCATCGTTACAGGGCTAGACAGTCCAACTACGACCTTGTCGAAAAAACGTTGTCAATAACGCAAGCAAAAACCGACTCTCGAAAATCCAAAATTAATTAAGGCTACGTATACAAGGATGAAATCTCAGTCCCCATCGAACTATCCCCCCTACCCCCCAAAAATTAATCGCAAGTTCCCCCACCCTCTGTGGAGCTAGGGTAGAAACTAGACGTTTCCCACTACTATCAGTAAGTTGCTACGAACTAGAAGTCAAATCATGTTTTCAGTAGGACACGTTGAGCCGTGCCACTGCTGTAGTTTGCGGTGGTACTAACGACGACCAAAAAAAAAAAAGGAAAGAAAAGAAAAGAAAAGAAAGAAAAAGAGAAGAGAAGAAAAAAAAGCACGCAAGGTTGCCAGCTGAGAATCTTGTTTAACTTGCTAAAGCTTAGGTTAAACGTTAAACTTCACATGAGCCGAACCTAAGTGACACATTGGACAACAAGACGGTCATCTTTGATGTCAGGTTATATACTTACTTATATCGTAGGTTTGGCTCATGCCAAGTTCGACGTTTGACATTAGACTTAGCGCCAATCAAACAGACAGACGCTGGCTTTAGCAATGTATCTCACCTTTACTATAAGATAAACCATTTCGTTCGATCCAGTTACTCTCGTCAGTTCGATGGCATCATGGATAGACGAGTCCCATGACGCGGTAGCAGATACCTAATCGATATATAAATCGATATATAAATATTTAAAATCAGAGATTATAAAATAACTGCAGAGTTCTAACGCGCACAGTGATTGGTCAGAATGCTTTTTCAGACGAGAGTATCTAAAACGCTCGTGTATTTTTTTTCCGCGGATGCGCTCTGAATTTGAACTTCCATACTAGGAAAAATAATGGTTTCATTGCGTTACAAGTATTTGTCTTGCGTTACCTGTTTCTAGTCGTATTTAATAATGGTTTCATTGCGTTACAAGTATTTGTCTTGCGTTACCTGTTTCTAGTCGTATTTAATAATGGTTTCATTGCGTTACAAGTATTTGTCTTGCGTTACCTGTTTCTAGTCGTATTTAATAATGGTTTCATTGCGTTACAAGTATTTGTCTCGCGTTACCTGTTTCTGGTCGTATTTAATTATAGGCAACTCTATCATATTATCAGGGTTTTCAAATGATAGAGTCGTATCTACACCAGCTGGAGAAGCGTCGTCTGCGGCCCCGTTTCTAAATTCATCTATCAGAAACAAAAATATATATTAAAGTATAGAAAAGGTATATCGAGTAATTAAGGAATTTCATTTGTATCTCTTGTGAAGCGGCGTGTCCGGATTTTTTCAGAACATGTTCCAGGGTCGGGTGTTCAAGAGTTCTGATGGGCAATTCTTTCTGTCTAATTGCAGATATATTTTACTACCAGTGGGATACCTGTGCTCATCCTGAACTGAACCCCACACAGGAAGCCCGTAAGAGAATAAAACTTCGCGATGGGAGTAAATATGAGAGGTAATGAGAAATGGGGGAAAAGATGCATAACAACACACCCCACTCCCACCACCAGCAATCCCCTTGCATGTTGTATTCATATACTTTAGCTTACCATTCAAATCGAGGAAAATAACAGGGATATGTGCTTCCAGACCTTGGCGAATCAAACTGTAAAATAAGTAAAAGTAAATTTAAAAATAAAGATAAAAACGTCAAGATTGATGATATATCACCAAGGATAAGCACAAGACACCCCTTAAAGATGGTAGACAGTGAAACAAGGAGACAGACAGACAAACACACAGAACACAAATAAGGTTCGCAAGTAAGGCTAGCCAGTCAAGATTGAGGAAAAAACTTGGTCGAGATTGCATTGCAGTGTGGAACTACTTTAGGGGATATATTTCCAAGATGGCGTCTATGTCGCCCACTGACAGTCCCACAATGCATTGCAATACCAACTCGACCCAGTTTTTTCGTCGACTTTGGAATAGCTAATAGTACATCTAAGCAAGTATACTCACTCTTCATCAGGTTGCGGTGATCCTGGTATTCCACTCCCAGGAAGAGGACAGAGAACAGCATTACGTTCTTCAGTAAGACAAACCCACTGGTCTATTAACCAGCTCTCGCGTTCTTTATCCACTACTGACTTATCTGTATGTCGAGGAAAATAAAAATTTATCATCTACCATCTATCATCTACCCCTTATGATATGTGCATTTTTCACGCAGCAACCTCGTGACACAATAAATATTACTTCTGTACAGCCTTGCATTAAAGAAATAGTGATGCCTCTAGAAAAAAAACACCCTTCAATAAACGGACATTGAACTAGTTGCACAGTCCCCAACTTTTCTTTTCGTATTTACATGAAGCAAAAGTCTATTCAGCAGACACCCTTTATTAAGAGGACAGCAGGCAAGGCACAGAAGGTGCAAGCCTTTAATAGGGGTACCACTGTACTTCACTTTACACATAAATAATTTTAATATTCTCTACTGACCTTGGTTTCCCATTGAAGAGTGAATTTGTTGATCAAGATATTCACGTCTCTTCATCAACGAGTTTGACCACTTCTCACGTAGCCTTATAAAGCAAAAAGATTTATAAAGTTATTCCAATGAAGTGCGCTAACACAGTAGAATTCGTGAGAAAAGAGATTTTGAATGAATCTTATAATTTCATAATAATAACAATATTTATTGACAAAAATGCAAAAGACGACAACAGACAGACAAACAGATAAACTGACCAACTGGTCTACACAGAAGCACATATACGCAAACGGAGACGGGAAGACAAATGAATCAGAGGATGGAGAGAAAGAAGAGATGCAGACAGACAGACAGACAGACAGACAGACAGACAGACAGACAGACAGACAGACAGACAGACAACAGACAAACAGACGGACAGTCAGACAGACAGACAGGCAAATTAACTGACTGACTGAATGAATGAATAAATGAATAAATGAGGAAGATAGGACTTACAGTGACAAATCCTTTTCTTGGTAGCTGTCAAGTCCCAACAAATGTTTTTTCCTGACACATATGCTTCCAATAGACACACTAGATATAGTGTTGCATACTACAGGAAGTGCCCCAGACTTCGGTACAGGGTTGACCTTGACTACTAGACGACGCGAGTGACCTTGTCGTAGCTGGAATACTCCTCCAGTTTCTCTACCCTCGCGTATGTTTAGTTCAACAGGGGCGTAGATTCCTTGGTCGTTGATCTCGTGTACTTCAAACCACAGTTCCAATTTACGAACAAGTTCGTGCCACCTACACAGGAAAAAATAATATAAAATACATCATTAAGTACAGCGTCTCATATCCCATCCCCTTTTGCTTTTTTGCCTCCAATGATTGAACGACTAGATAGGAAATGCAAGGGCGTAGGCAGGAGAGGGAGGGGAGGGGTGAGGGGCGAAAGGGCTAGGGACTTAATAATTACTTTTACAGATTTTTTCCCGTGTTTTTTTTTTTTTTTTTTTTTTTTCTAGCATAGGATTTTCTGTTCATATATCTAGTTGTTGGAGGTAGAGAATAAATCCTTGGAATAAATTGCGGCAAGATTTTAGCGATCTTTTTGTGTGATTGGACCCAGAAATACGTCACAACTGAAAAGCCCTATAGTTGCCCTCCCATCTCTTTTGTAGTCTCAGAACATTCCCCCCCCCCAGAAGTTCTGGATCCCTTTCTCCTTACCTGTCATGAAGTCCTTTCTGAGGAGCTTCCACATTATAATTCCAGTTCATCTTGTGAGTGCTATCAAAGCCTTGACTTCTGTTCCCCCACACCTCAATAGCAAGTGAGCCTTCTGATGCGTATTCCAGGAAATCTTCAGTGATCTCGATGTCAAAAGACTAAGTGATGAAAAGAGGGAACATATTTCATTCACAATATTGTCCAATATTTAGAGTGCGTATCAAGCCCACAGGATCTGTTCCTGATTTCAAAGGCTTTATAAAATAAATAAGAATGGCCTTTACTTTCTCTTTGACTACTAGACGGCGATCCTTTTTCGTTGCTGATAGTCAATATAGAAATCACGAAATGATGACGTCAACCCAGGATTCTTGTAAAAAGTCAAATCGTTAAATAGAGAATATCTCTGTGAGAATTAGCTCAACATGAATGAAACTTTTGGTGGTGATAGCGCACTATACAGCCTGTAACCAATAAACTTCATTATCTTTTTTTTTTTCTCCAAACTATTTTTTCTAGGTTTTTTTACTCACTTGTTTGTTTTCAAAGATCATAGTGTTAGTTTTTGGTCCTGGATGTGAAATACTGGCATTAATAGGCGGGACCACGACGGTATCCTTATCTTTCCATAACTGGTACTGACAGAACACGTAGTTACACAAGGCAGGAGGAAGGTCAAACGCCTCAATCACGCGTACACACACTTCCATGCGATTACCAAGCTGAAACTCTTCTATTTCATCGTCATCGTCGATCTCCGGTTCATCTTCGGGGCTTTCTCGTCCGTCCTCGGATTCAATCGATTCGCTATCGGAGCCCTTATCTGAAAACGAAAGCATTTGTACATTTTGTACTTATATCTCTAGAAGATTGCGTGTGAGAGATTCATTGGTGCTTAGTCTTTTGTGCAAACTTGTGTTGGTAAATAGACCGTTTTCGAGTTCCAGATTACCGCTGTGTTCTTTGATTACAGACTCAATTACGAAAGGTTAGCCTTGTACAAGTGTTTAACATTTACAAAAAACGGTAAAATAAAGAATGCTCAACTTCAGCAATGAAAGCACCGTTTGAAATTCCACGGACCTTCACTTGTACACACATGAATATTCTACACCTGAGCAACAAAGAAACTGGAGCATTCCTTACTTACCAGTAACACGAGTAACTTCAACTTTAAGTCGACCACAAACCTTTAGAAGTTAAAAAAATATGTGCAAGTTAGATTTATTGGAGACAGGCTAAAAGACCATAGCACGTCCATTACAGAAACAGACAGACAGACTGACTGATGTACGGACGGAAGATTGGAGGGACGTACATGTCGAGGGATGAACGAGTGGAGAGATGAACGAGTGGAGAGATGAATGAGTGGAGAGATGAACAAGTGGCAGGACGGATGAGTTGCCGGTCGGACGAGTGGAGGAACAGATTAGTGACGGGACGTTACAGCAACAGACTGACTGATGTACGGACGGAAGATTGGAGGAACGGGCATGTGGAGGGATGAACGAGTGGAGAGATGAACGAGTGGAGAGATGAACGAGTGGAGAGATGAACGAGTGGAGAGATGAACGAGTGGAGAGATGAATGAGTGGAGGGATGAACAAGTGGCAGGACGGATGAGTTGCCGGTCGGACGAGTGGAGGAACAGATTAGTGATGGGATATGAAAACAATCAGACAATGACAAGGTCATAAAGAAAAAAGCAATAAAGAAGGAAGAAGCGAATATCAATAGTGACATTACTCTGCTTACCTCTCCCTGCTGGCTGATGATAGGTGCAGCATACTCGTGACTAACATCATGTAATAAACATTCTAAGAACACGTTACACACACCAATAAGAGTGTGACATTCCACCTCAAAGAAAAGATCCGTGTTATCCTCCTGAAACATGCAAGGAAAAAAAAACATGTTGATACTGGGTCACCATGATGCAGGTTTAAGGTAAAAGATACCCAAAGTCTTTTAAAAAGAGTGTGGTTGAACGATCTTTTAAGAAATACCTTAAAATATGCAAATATATGCTGAAATTCTAAATTTGTAAATTTCAAGTTCAACATATATATAAAGAGGGCCACAAGTTAATCAGTTATTAAAATTACTGTCACGTGTCACCCTCATTAAATAAAGTCTTCAATCAATCAATCAAAAAAAACACCCTAAAAGGTACCAAATCGCAAACTACCTTATACGTTTACCCCGTGGTCAACCCCCGGGGGTTTACGCTGCATCCAAAAGAAAAGGATGATCAGCATGAGAGTAACAAACAGCAGTATGGTACGGCATTGAAACTAACCTTGCTATTAAACGCAATCCCCTCATCAACGCACTGGTTGTATAGTTCTCTCATGTCGAATATCTTGTTCTCTAGTTTGTCCAGAGACCAAACTAATGAAATAAAAACATGACAGTAAGGAAGAGGGAAAAAAATGAATAAATAAATGAATGAATAATAAATAAATAAATAAATAAATAATAAACAAACAAACAAACAAATAAACAAATAATTAAAGAAAGAAAGAAATAATAAATAAATAAATAAATAAATAAATAAATAAATAAATAAATAAATAAATAAATAAATAATAAATAAATAAATAAATAAATAATAAACAAACAAACAAACAAATTAATTAATTAATTAAATAACTAAATAAATAATAAACAAATAATTAAAGAAAGAAAGAAATAATAAATAAATAAAAATTCCATCCCAATGAATAACTTGACGCAAAATCTATTTGGTCAGAATCTTTTTTCATTTCGGTTCTTTCAAGATCAATAAGTTTGAAAAAAAAAATCAAGGAAAGGACTCGTGACCTGTAAGACTGTAATGGAAAAAACAACGAATAACTTGGTATTGGTAACTTTGACGTTTGCGCACGATTGTCACTAAGCTTCCCGCCAAGTTTTAGAGCATGCGCAGCAGACCTTTTTCCCAGTGCCCATGGTCGTGATAGACCCCTTGCAGCACGTCGGAATGCAGCTCAATTTGGAGGAAATGACAATAGGTTTGCAATTCTCAATTATTTTGTTTTGTCCTTCAAATTGAGCTGCTTAGACGTCCCATGCAAGGGTGCTATAGCCCAACAGATGGTATGGATTATCAGTTAGCGAGAATACTAACTTTGTGTTCCTCTAGATTTGTGTTTCACAACAATAGCAACTTCACTACTGAATCCTGAACGACTGCGACCAAAACTTAGACTCGATGTCGGGATCTGCAAAGTGACTGCGAACTCCGTGTCCTTGTTCATTTCTTCGCTCAGTTGATTAGCTTCCCTGGATAAAGCAATGAAAACGTGCAGTTGTAAAAGAGATAGAGGTTGGGGGGGGGGGGGGGGTAGTAGACCTTTTATGAAACAAGATCAAATCCTTTTTCAAATTTAATATTTGTTGGGGTAAATTGATATATGTCATTGTTTTGACCCCCAGGTGTAGTAATAATAATAATAATAATAATAATGGGAGGTTCTTGTTAGCGCATTTATACAACGTCTCAATGCGCTTTACATTAATTAATAGATAATTACTGAGGCACGCAGCATTCGTAGGTATAATGAATGTCTGATTTTCCTCTATGCATTCGTTGGGATAATGCAGACTGAAAACAATGGATTTTGATAAGATCAGTAATTATTGACCTAGTAGGGATTTAATCCAACGGGTCATTTCTTATGTACAGAGGCATGAAGTTATTCGTTGTAGCGAGGGTATTTCCTCAAAACGTTGATGTGCAGGTAGTTACCTTATTCTATAGATGTGGTTTATGGGTTCAAAACATTTTTTTAAATTCTTTACGAATTTCCTTTCTAGCACAATTTCTCTCAACCCCAAAAAAGTTAACCACATAGTGAAAATTAAACCATTACCGGTGAAAGAAATACGCTGCAAAAATTTCTTCAAAAATGTTTTGGGAAGCGTCTATGCAACGATCGCCTGCCGACGGCAAATCGAATAGGTTACGATAGTTTTCTGGACAGCTACCGATACAACTTACAGCTTACCTTCTTTCAAAACAAGAGGGTGCTGTTTGGGTTTGTCGATGTAATTCATTGATGTGTCTCTATCCTCGCATCATGACATACGTGACCCTACCCAGACACAATAGCTTACCGGTGCACTTCGCTTACCTGACAAGAGTATTCGCCTTCAATACCTCTTCTTTTAAAACAAGAGGACGCTGTTCTGGTTTGTCGATGTAATTCATTGGCGTGTCTCTATCCTCGTACCATGACATACGTGACCCGTACCCAGAGCTGAATGACCCCACACTCCATGTTCTGTCAGTGAATTTGTTACCAAGTGGGTTGGTTTGGACTTGACTTCGAAGCTCTTCGATTTTTTCTTCGTACATCAGTCTTTGTTTTTCCAATGCACCTAATAAGAGCCAATTAAATATCACGATTAAGAATCGAATCCTTTCTTTGTTTGCATAAAAAAAATATTTCCGCTTGCTTTGTACAGTAGAGCAAGGGCACAGACCAGTGAAAACTTACAGGTCAACACTGAATCGAAGTATTGTTGGTGAGGTTGCGATATTCAAGTGGGCCGGGGACAATGTTGTTCGTCGTGCCAGAGATTTTAGCTGGGATTGTTTTGATTATTGTCCTTTTTTTTTACGATCTCCTTTATCTCAATATTCTTCAATAACATTCTTAATGGAATATTGTCAAGCGATAGACATCATGTAACTTAAGTTGTTTACCTTGTTTATCAGCCTGGTACTGCTCCTCTAACGCTTTTATCGATTCATGTAATGGACCTGCAATAAATCAAACACCAATTGTTATCCAGAAAATTGTGACCGAGTGCTTTCTTCAAAGGAATCAATGAGTCTCTTCTCTACCGACTTAATGTCATTGAGACCCGTTACCACAGGGCGTATGCGCATCCAAACTTGATGGGCATTACAATCGAAAAAGTAAAGCGCATACCATATATTGTGAAAAACTTTGTAAAACGTTGCACAAATTAGTAAGTTCTGTAAACCTCAGTAGACCTTAGTAGACCGTACCTACTAAACTTTGCACTAATTTGTACAGTTTTGTTAGTTCACTTTTCAACGGATATACGGTATGCACTCTAAGTTGAAAGCTTATTCAATCGTTTGTTCGTCCGTCCGTCCGTGCGTGCGTGCGTCCGTCCGTCCTTGTTTTCAATCGTTTGTTCGTCCGTCCGTCCGTCCGTCCGTCCTTGTTTTCAATCGTTTGTTCGTCCGTCCGTGCGTCCGTCCGTCCGTGCGTCCCTCCGTTCTTCCTTGTTTTCTTACCTTGATGGATTTGGTTCATCATCAACTCATGCTGTGCAGACAAAAAGTCTACTGGTTGTTCAGGCTGGACCTCACTGCCTGGTAGCCGTGGACAGTTAATTCTAAAGAAGTGATTATTCCCCCAGAGGATTCTGTCACCGTGTTTTAATAACGTTCGATCTTTCAGTTCTTTGCCGTTAACGAATGTCCTGGATAAAAACAACCGGCAACATGTTTTATTTGTATCAGATTAGTACAATCAATGCAATTATTTCTTAAGATGTTTATTTGCTATATATAGAGGTTTCTCACTGTGACGTCACGCTATAGAAAAAAAATTTTTTTCGTCTTATCAGAAACTAAAAAAAAGTTTAAACAGTAAAATTGTCCATATAGATATTAGTAAAACTGTAAAATTTCGTGACGATTTTCGATAATCTAGACACGGTATGAATTTTTCAACCTTACTACTTTTACAAAGAAATGTAGTTTCGTTGCAATCTTCACGAATTTTCACAGTTTTACTACTAATAGAGACTTAAAGATTTGTAAAGATCTACGACAGCGACACAGGTGAAGTGTAAATAATTTCTCTTCGGGGTTCTGTTCATTGGAGATTTCATTGAAAACACTGTCAGTAAAGTCAACTTATCCACAAGGAAGAGAAAGTTTGATAGCGCGAAACCCCAAAGTGAAGTTATTTATACTTGAGTTTGACGTCGCCGTCGTAGATTTTTAATCGTAGATTCCACGTAAACTACATTTCTTTGTAAAAGTTGTGAGGTTCAAAAATTGCAAATCTCAAAGTCTCTAATATCTGTATGACAACGTTGAATATCAACTCCTTTTTCAAATCAAACAAATTTCTCTACAGCGTGACGTCACATGAAAAATCTCAATATAGGAGGCCATACTATAACAGTGAATGCGCCATGCAGAGATAGCATCCATACCTGGCATTGGGCATAGGAGTTAGGTAAACCTCATTGCCTTCAATATCCATAGTACTGTGTTCAGGTAGAATACCAAGACCTCCTAACTGGATATCAGGGGGAGGTAGGTTAGGGTTCAGACGTCCAATTTTAGTATGGTCCTTAAATCAGAATCATGATCAGTATTCAGGTGAGAGTGGTTTTACTACTTAAATACATTTATCAAGGGCGGATCCAGCCCTAATTTTAGGGGGGCTAATTGAGTTAAGGAGGGGGGGGGGGCTAATTGAGTTTCTTCCGTCAACACAACGGAAAACAATAAAAAAGCATCTAATTCTTCAGCTTTTTTGTTTTTTTCCTGCTGAAGGGGGGAATTGAGCCTCCCTTTGCCCCCCCCCCCCCCCTGGATCCGCCCTTGTTTATAAGCGGAGAAGAGACACTGCTAACTTCCAACCAGAATGTATAACGCACTACAGAATGGCGTAACAACGATATGGCTTGTGCACCATTTAATCATACATGTAAGATTGCAATAAAATACACTATAGCTAGTTTTTCTCAGCCACTGCACGACCTCTGGTTTGCCTACCTTTAAGTAATAGACAAGCAGCTCATTCATGGATGGATCTGCGTTCAGGTTCACTAGATAAAATTTGTTTTTCTCGACTGCTATTCCTGAAGACTGGACTGAGATACCCATTTCCTCCAAGGCTTTATGTCGTTCCTGCAACACGAAAAATAATATTAAATAAATGAATGGAGCTGGTCATCATCACCACCATCATCATTATGGTCATCATCATCATCATTACCACCATAATCGTCATCGTTATGATCATCATCACAACACCACCACCATCATAATATTCATCATCATCATCATCATCATCATCATCATCATCATCACCATCATCATTATGATCATCATCACCATCACCATCACCAGTGTCAGCGATCGATCACTACCACCACCAACAACATCATCATCATCTCCATCACCAACAACAACACTTCCAACACCTTTTACCTGCATAATTTGTTCTGTTTGTTTCTCTTTCTGTTCCCAAGACATCGTCGCCTCTTTCATCAGTTTCTCACTCTCTGATAACTGTTCCTGGATCTCAAACTCCCCAGCATCTTCAGGTGATAACTTGCCAGCAATCTTCAACTGTAGTAACTGTTTTAGCCGCTCGACTTCTTCGCGAAGCTCGCGGATGATCTATGAGAGAAGTTAACAAATTCAGATGAAACCGAATGAAATAATCAAACCCAAGACAATGCCAAACGAAGGGAATATACAACATACCCTAGCATTAGGATCTTCATTGACGACAGCATGATTGACGATTCTCTTGGCGCGGTCTGCGTATCTTAACGTGGATAGTGTCTCTTCATAGTTATCAGATGAAGGACTAACGGTAGCTATCATCACAGTCTTGCTATTACCACCAAGATTATCCTGATAATATTATCAAACAATCATATTTATAATCTGATAACTAATCCATAATAACATAATGTCACGCAGAAATGCGGTTGCCGAGGACTGTCGTGACCGTGACCGAGTTCGTTGCAAACATGATATTCTACACGGCATCTGGATTTGTGGCTCCTAACGATCAAGGATTTATCAAAACAATATTTTTGAATCCTTTCTTGGGGCACAGCCCAGGAAGACACAAATGGTCCAGATCCGATTTAAACTGCCCCCCACCCTCGTCCACACTCACACACATACTACATTCAACTCACACGCTGATTTTTACAAAGATGTGACGTCCGCAGGGCTCTATGGAACCACAGTGGTGAAAGAAGACACTATAGCAGCGTACGCCACCAATGCTACCCTCTAAACCCCAAGTTATTAATCATTTTAACTGATAGAATCCAAAAATCCAGATATCACGTAAATATTAAAAGAAGGGCAACAAGTTTATTCATACAAAAATTGTCGTACCTTGAGTAACCACGTAAGAACGGAGTCTCGATAAGGGACAAAATGCACTCCTTTTTTATGGTGTTTGACTGAAGACTGTCGTATGAAAGTCAAAACAAGCAGTTCAGTATATGAATGGAACGTTCTGAATCTACGTACACCCACCTATTAAATGGTCTTTCGCTCTTACAAGCAGCCTCCTTATAAACGCAAGATTAGCGAAGTTTAGATGGTAAAGCGCAGATCGTCAGAAAATACCATGCGGGAATAAGCGGAGAGACGAACGACAGCGATAGATGCAAGTTTACGTCGAATGGATTCAAAGAAAGTCTTGAAACTGGATTAGGAAGCCAGACGGACAAAATAAATCATAATATCTTGTTGAGGAAACTTGCTGTACCTGATCAGCTAGGCTTGATATTACTTGTCCTAGTGTAGTTAGTGATCTGAAAATGAACAGAATGTCGTGTCAGTCCTGTTTTACTTGATTCTGAAATAAATTAACATGGCGACAACAACAATAAAGGGGAAGACATTAGCGCAGACATCCCAGCTGACAGACAGACAGACAGAAAAAGACAGACAGAAAAAGACAGACAGAAAAAGACAGACAGAAAAAGACAGACAGAAAAAGACAGACAGAAAANAGACAGACAGAAAAAGACAGACAGAAAAAGACAGACAGAAAAAGACAGACAGAAAAAGACAGACAGAAAAAGACAGACAGAAAAGGACAGACAAACAGATGGTGATACACGGTTAGGATTGACAGACACAACGACAAATGTACAGACAGACAAATGGTCAGACAGACAGTCAAATGGACAGACATGAGATAAAAACAAACGACGCGCAAACAGCCAGTCTGAATAGCAAGACAAATTTAATAACCCCTTCCCCTCCCTCCCACAGGACATTTAACAACCACAATAACATTTCAAAAGACTTAATGCAAAGAAAATTACTCACTTATTAATATTGCTTCCTTCTTTCAGTCTTTCTCCTTCAGCACCTGTTTTACTGGCTCTTTCGCTGCCAGCCAAGTCTACAAGACTCAGCTTACTAACTTTCTCGCCAACACACTACAAAAAGGCAAGACAAAGCAGGACATATGAGGAGAGAGGAACTGGCTAGCGATTCAAATAAAGGAATCTGCTACTTTTGTAACACCTTTCCTTCATCAAAGAAAAAGCGAGTGCGCGCTTTGAATGGCACGACCGACGCTTCTCCTAACACTCATCTCGTGCTCTATCAATCCTCACTCCTTGCTTTATAAAACACAGTTCAAGCACGCTTTCTTCTATTCTTTATCAAAATTGCTAATGAAAACAAGTTAAGAAGTGTTTTTAGCTGTCAGATGTCAGAAACACATTCACAAATATTGTACGCAAGAATGTAGAAGAGTGCGAAATTCTTTCGCATGATACAACATTGTGCGCAACTATGAAGCAGTTTCCAAAAGCTCAAAGAGGAAAGATCATCTACCTCTGCACCCCAGTGCATATCGCGCGCCTGTGCTTCTTCACCTTAATGGATTGCGCAGCAGCCATTTTGGCTGGAACAATAAATTTTCCATATGCGCTTGAGGATGAGTTTATTCGGGCACAAACAACAATTCTTATTTTGCGTGATGAATGTCTATGGCCAATGAATGAATATTTAAAGGAATCCCGCATGGTTGATTAAACTTGAAACAATCGTTCTATCGTCTAAGGCCTTAAAGTACAGTAAACCATACCTCTGTATCGTGGTCATATTCTGTTCGTGCCAGTACGATATTAAAGACAGCATGTGATCTACTACTTTCAGTGTTCATGCGCGTAGCTGCTACTGTACGTGACTTGTTCCCTTCTACCATGATGGCTTCGATATCCTGTGTATATATAAACAATATTCAACGTCCTGATGCTCAATAACTAAATGAAAAACTTTTAAGGTATGAAATTGCACGCGCATTAACATGATAAAGCACGATTCTAACATAGAGCAGTTTTCGTATGACTGTGAAAATCTTACGCAACGAACACGGTGGTGACACGACAAGGCATACGCCAGACCAATCGCATTGCACGAGAATTTACTCTCCATCCAACCAAATACCCGGAACACGGCATAAACACGGCGCGGACACGGTCACACAAAGGTCACGGCACTGCCAGACCAATCACATTGCGCGAGAAAAAATTAGCCAATCAAAATTCTAGAAAGCATCACGGTCACGGCACGTCACGCTTACGGCACTGAGCTTTTCACAGCCATACGAAAACTGCTTTATAAGCACCGACTGTTTAGACCTTTGAGAATAGGATCCTTTGTTTCATTTACATCCAAACAAAGAAATGATACTCAAGGGAATGACACGTTGTCTGAAATGGGCAAAACATTACGCCAAAGCTAGACAGGTTTATTCTAGAAGAATTTACATGAGAGAAGAAGCGTAGCAAGGTCTCGGTCTTGCGGAGGGGGAGGGGGGCAATGTACCACTTTCTCAATACCCATATGGGTAAGTTTTTCTTCTCTAGAGTGTCCTGCTATAAATCTACAGGTTCGGTGAAAAATTTTTGTAGGAGGGGGAGGGGTGGTGGTTGCCCCCACTCACTCCCGCTCACTATGTCACTGCATGCATGTAAGGTGTATACAAACCTCATAGGACGAGACAACAAGTTTGGTTAAGCCCTCCACGTATGGTCCAAGTACTTTATGTTCCCTTACCCTCAGAGCTGTGTTACCTCTGAAATACATATGGATGTAAAAGTATGTTAGCAGAAGTATCAATTGGTTTAAAATTTCTAATCTTTTTTCATAATTCATGACAAAGATAGATATTGACTCACCCTCTGGGACAAAGCAAATCCCGAACTCTTTCATTGTAGATTTCAATGTAAGATACTTCTACTTTGTAAGTGATGTCTTGCGTTGTGTTCTAAGGAGGAAAAAATAATAGTATAATAGTTAGAGTAGTTATAATAGTTAAAATAATAATTCAATAGTTAATTATTGACGTGTCCTGTTCTTGTCTAAAATGAAAAAAAACCCTCCCTGTACGTACAACAGGGGTGTAGCCGACCAGAATCAAACTCATATGTCTCCTTTACAGTCAGCTTTCACCTTAACATGACTGGTCAAAATGACAAGCAAAGTAAAGAATTGACCAGACAAGTTCCAATTCTGGTTGAATATTGTCCAATGACCAGTTATTATTTTAAGCCCTGGTATAGAGCACAGTGTTATGTATTTTTTCCCCATTTTCTCCATACAGGTCAGCACTGCATTAGGATCCTTACCTCTGATATTCCAGTAAACAGATTGTCGCATAGTCTTGGTATGATTCCTTTATCATTCTGTACTCCCATCATGGTATATGTTTTACCAGACCCTGAAAACAACCACAGTAAATTGAAGTACTCGTTTCATAGTTTTGACATGGACGACATGGACGACATGGCAGTAATCCTGTACTTCATGACCAGCCCACACATGTCCGTCGACTATCGCCTGACTGTTGGTCGACAGTCGCCCAACTATTGGCTGTGTGTTGACCAAGCGTTGGCCTACCATTGGCCGTGTGTTGACTGCATATTGGCTGACCAAGTACACAATTACCCAACATGGCTATGCTTGTAATAACTATCGATGGAAACCATAACTCAGGGATGGATTGAGGGGAGAGGAGGTTGATTGAATCCAAAAATAAATAAATAAAACAAGCACTTCACACCTACAGGGTAACCTTTCCTTACAGAAAATAAAAAATATATCGAGCATATACAAAACAAATTTTATGCAGGAGCATATATTCCAAGAGAAATTCAAAATTCGAAATTTCTATCATAACCCAGGTGATAGTTATAGAAAATAAAGAGTATCAATTGGACACTCGCTTGGACTATTTTTCACTAATCACATACATGCGAATACATGATTGGGTGTGAGCAGCATATGTTGAAGTGTGCCAATTTGAAAATATAGTACAAAATAAATATAGATGTTACAAATAAACCAATGTTGTCTATTTTCTTTCAAATAATTACCTGTGAAATGATACTAAAAACATTATTCGCCTCAGGCTCAGTGATTACTAGTATTTCAGCAAATAGTTACGTCAACTCTTCAAGACTGGTGGCTCAGTAAATGTTACCGATAATCACTTGGCCTTAAACTTTCAACAAATTATTAAATAATTTATAGTGCTGGGAAAATAAACACATACCTGTCTGTCCATAGGCAAATATACAAGCATTGTAGCCTTCAAATGCATTAACCAATACATCCTTGCCAAGGCAATCAAAGACCTTATCTTGAGCTGCAGCAGGGTAAATGGTAATACAAGTTTTTTTCTTTAGCTTTTTTTAAATATTTTCAATATTAAACAAAGATGTTAAATAGGTGCATAATCAAATATATGTTGTGAATATGAAGAAACATTTGTTAAGAAAGGATGGAAGGGAGGATGGAAAGAAAAAAATGTATGAAAACAGAAAAAGATCGAGGTAAAGAAATAAGGGGGCTAGACCGAATTTTGCTAGACTTGTAAGTAACAGCTTATTTTACTGTGAATCTATTAACTTTGATCAAGTAAAACTATATATATATATTGTTGAGGGGGGGGGGGGGAGCTTACAGCCCCCTTTGCTCCTGATACTGATACACTGTTGTACTTATACCCAAACATGTGTACTAGAACTTCATAGAAAACTGAAGATACAGGTACATATTGTATAATAGCCACTTCTTTTACAGCATGATTCCCAGCTACTCAACAGATTAACTGTAGCAGTTGAGGCTATGCAGGCATTGATTGTGATAAGGAAACTAACTTTACCTGCATACTTTTCCTCATTGGCAGAATCAATAGACCAGAAGCAGTGATCAAAGGCAAAGTTCTGTCGGTATAACAATAACATGATCAAAAAATGGAAAGATTAATGCCCAATAAAAGACATTTTTCCAATGTCAAGGTACAATTTAGAGTTCACAGTAAGACAGAGGTTCAGGCCCCTTACAACTTTTTCCAAATCCCCTTGCATTCCCTTGAGTATCATTACTTTGTTTGCCAGTAAAATTTTGAGCAGATTAATTAATAAAGAAGAAAAAAAATAGAAATTTAAACAAAGAATCTTATTGTCAAGGAAAGGACACATGGTTTTTATTGGAAAACATAAATGACCAAATGAAAAAAAAATTTTTTTTTAATTTGGAAATCAATAAACCTGAATATGAGTATACTGTAAAAACATTTAATGTAGTAAATAATCAACCTAGCCTAGTTTTACTAAGAAACCGTTCAAATTTCAATTAATCAATCATTATAATTGCTGTATAATTATTATAGAAATCCAAGCACTAAAGATTTAAATCTTTTTGTTTTTCAGTTTTTGGCAAAGGAAACACTTAAGACTTTGATCACTGCTGGAATAATGACAGAAAGGAAATATCCAGGACTGAGACAGGTGAAGATTGAAAAGTTGAGATAAAATTACAGCTGTCACTGCTCAGATATTGGCATCATGAATAATGATAAATTTAGAAATAATTTACCGCCGCTTTTGATATTCCGCAAACTCTGTACTTGCAAGCTGCACTTTTGTTGCCATCAATCAAAAATAATTAGAAGGCTAACTTTTATGTTCTTGACTTGTGGCAGTAAAGACTGATTTCACAACAAGCCATTAAGATGTCAGAAATCTTTCTGCAAACTCGGTAGTTGCAAGCTGCACTCTGACATTACATTTTTTGCTGCCGTCAATCAAACTGTACCCTTTTTATTTACGGCTGGCATCAGTAGACCAATTTCACAACGAGCCATTAAAATGTCAGAGTAATACAATATCCAAAACTGCAGTAAGTTTTCGCTGCCAGAATCCATAATCATAGTTTTCTGTTTAGCTATTTTTAAATTAAAGACTTTTTTACCAAAGAAGTATAAAGTTTTATCATAGAGCTAAGGCCATACTATTTTGTTATAATAATGTTCAATACATTTTAAACTGAGCAACAAAATAAATTCAATCTTGCATTAAAAGGAAAGGCTAAACTTTTCCCCCTCAAGTCTTTTTTTTTTTCCATCTTGAGCACAAAATTTAAGCCATGTTTTTCTTATTCTTAAAAGAGCAAAATCTCTGGCATAAAATTTTTATTATTAATTTCAAGTCAGTCACATATTTCCAAGTCCTGAGATGACCTGTCATAGAAACAGAGAACCAATTTCCTGAGTCTGGAGTACAGCTTAATGCATTTGACTGGTCCTATGTTTAATACTAGTGTCAACACCAGAAGAGGTTCATCATTAATGAGTTCTGATATTCTCTTTGTCGAAACAACAAACCATTGCTGAGGAAACCATAATCAATTTCTAACCTAAGAATTTGAAATAAATATTATAAATAAACAAATAAATGAGAAAATAGAAAACTAAATGGGAATTGGAAATATGGAACAATTTCAGAAGCACTTTTTGGAATAAATAGCAGGTTATTTTCAGCTGAAACAGAATTTAATTATAATAATGGTCTTCAACCCTTTAAAAAATAATTAAAGATAACCTTGAAGATAGATAAAAAATATAAATATATTTAGAAATAATTAGGTATACTATTATTAAAATATGTCATAAATTATAAAATATTGAATTTTTTATTCAACATTATTTTATTTTTCTTTTCTTTTCTCATATTTATTTTTGCTCAATATGGTAAAGCATTTGTTGTTGAGTTTAAATATTGTTCATAAATGATCAAAAGATTGACTTGGATCGATATTAGATTTTTGATAAATCATAATTTTCACTGATGATCTTTTGGTTTCAAAAATGAATATGCAATAACCCAGGAGAAAAAAATTCTGAAAACCTTTTAATATAATTAAGTCACCCCCTGCAAATATACATGTAGTGACGCAAAAGTAATACAAGAAATGAGACAGTCATGTTAATTAAGATTATAATGTAGAGTGTGAAGATAATACTTCTGATTGGTAGAATACTGATTGTCTCTAAAAGGGAATCTATATGAGAACAGTATGAGCTCAACGGCAATCAGCAACAAGACAAAACAATAATAAAATGCTACAATCAAAATTGATGAAAGAACAGATAAAGTTTATAGTGAATATAAAGTGAAAAACAATGTGTGTGGTAACAAAACATTTCATATACATCGATTATTATTTTTTTAGAGGCATAAAGGTTTATATTTAATTTCAAGGGCTTCATCAGTAAGAATGATTTAAAAAAGGATGACAGCTTGTGCAGCATTTTCACAACCTCTCTCCATCAGTGCTTCATTGATTGCATTTAATGAAAAACTTACATGCATTAGAAAGACTAAAATCCTTTTCCTATACTTTTCAAGTTAAGAATAAAATAAAATTTCATGTTTTGTTTTGTTTTTGTTTTTTTTTTTTTGTTTGTTTATTTGTTTGTTTTGGTTTTTTTTTTTGTTTTGTTTTTTTTGTGTGTGTTTTTTTTGCTTCAAGTCAAAATCAGGCCAGATTAAGATTGGTCCAAAAAATGGAATTTGCCCCCACCGGCTGGTTATCAAAAATTTTTCATTTGCGGCTGATTTTGGTCAAAAAATTTTTGGGGTTGAAAACCTACTGGTACACACTCTCTTGGTCCAGTGACTAATGTTTGAATAGTTTTCTAATGTTTCAAGTCAAAGTCAGGACAGATTATGACCAGTCCCAATAATGGAATTTGCCCCCACCAGCCTAGTCTCCTCCGCAACTGTCATTAGCTTCGGTCCCAGACCCTCCCAGGACCATGATAATCTGGGATCAAGCTAATGACGACTGCAGAGACTAAATCCACCAACCGGTCATTAAAAATTTTTATTTTCTGGCTGATTTTTGTCAGAGGTTGGACTTGTTGTGTACATGTATACACCTATACTTGCAAGAAGGTTGTACAAGAATAGAACATTAGTAATTTAGTGAGAAAGGAATACATTAAAAGACAAAAGAAAAAGTTTAGCTTCAGTGATCTTCTTTTGTTTTTTAATATAATTCCTATCCCACTAAATCACTAATGTTCTATTTTCGTATGTCAATGTTCTTGCAAGTAGGTGTACATTAATTAACTCATACTGAATATTTATCAGTTATCATATTTATCTCCTCAACATGGAGCCATATAGTTTAATGAGATTGTACTTTGTTCAATTCTGGATTTCCTAATCTTAAGAGTTATCAGCTATTTTCAAAAAAAATAAAAAAGAATAAGAACATCAGCACAAAAAAGATAAAAATTATGTAAACAATTCCTTTGTGAATTCAAAGGAAATCTCTTCTTAATCAATCCGTAAAGAAAGGATTTTGCTAAGTCTTCAAACACATACTTCCAAAAAACATTAATGTTATAAATAGAACATTTAGAGCTCAAATGTAGGCTTTAGGGATTTGTCATAATACCTATGGATTAGTGGTTGACAGGAACTGGAATAATAGCTAGATACATGATATTAGACGATAAGGAAGAGAGTACTTGTATAATGCTATAAAAGTACTCAAATCTCTCCATACTTGTGAGCAAGATCATCCTGGCCATCAAGAATACTGTTCATATATATGTATGTGTTCTAATTGTTTATATGCTAGATATATTAGATTATCATAAGTGTTATTAAAGTGTTTGTAAGGAGCAAAACATTTTGGTCCAAAATAGGAGACTTTTATTGATTTAATAGGTGGGTACTGGCAAATACCCACTCTACTCCCCAAGAACTGCTATGAAGAAATGCTAATTACTGCATGGGCATCTACATGTACAGTATAATGGATATATTTACATGTACATATATATAAATATAGGATATTACACAGTGGCACAAACGTATGAAGTTTATCTTCAAGTGGTGAAAAGTAGTGAGCGCAGTGACTGATCAGTACAATATTTTTTAGCACAAGAAGATAAACTTAATATCTTCAAGCTAACGTGTAATTTTCTTCTTATATATAGACACATTAACAAACAAAAACTGGTTGAAAACATTGGAAAAGACGTTCTCATTATCTTCACATGTGAGGATATAGTCTCAGATGTATAAGTTCATATGAAAAAAAATGAGTGATGTACATATAAAACATCATCATCATCATCATCATTGTCAGCATCATGACATTGAATAGATCATACCCAATCTAGGGTACAATGTTAAATCATAGCCATCCTCTTGTTTGACAATAACAAAGGCGTTAGCTTTCCTCATTAGCTTTTTTTGTTACATCAACCAATATGGCAGCTGTTTAATTGTTATTCATATCTCAAGGTATTTTGAGTCATGTGGTTGTAAAAACCCAAGAGTTTCTTAATCATGTGACCCTGGTCAAGACTAGCTATAATCAAAGAAATCTGTGCTTTTGGCTTTTGTCAACTGAATTTTCAGTCTGAGTTTTCAAAGAATTTTTATGGATAATAGAACTTAAAAATCCAGACATAACAAAGAAATAAAACTCGATAAAAATAAATAAAACTAAAACTAGTTGAAACAAAGTGGGGAGATATTGGAAATTTTTAAAGAATTGAAAGAAATCTTTCACAAAAATGTTCATGCGTAAATGGTTCTAAGCTGTTGCAGACCCATCCTGATTGCACTATAACATGTACAATACTGCATAATAGACCCCTTGGGGGTATATACTGTATATATGCTATACCCCCAGACATACAGACTGTACATGTACAAACGTCTGTAAATTTGGCAAATTTCAACTTGAGTTTTCTCAGCCGATATACCACCTGACATAATGAATCTTTGTAGGGTTACTAAAGTAAAGAAGCTCTTTCTGGTGCTGGTATGGGTTTTTTAATTTAACGCATTTTAACTTTTAGCATCCATTTTGGCAAGGGGTCTATTGAAATAAAACGACTAAATGATGACAGAAAGCGTTTTGATTGGTCAAAGGAACTCTGTTTATAGCAGATACAACACAATAACAAGAACAAAAATTGCACATTCTACATAGATCTTACCGCAGTCATAACTGTCAATTAATGCAAACAAATATATTCAACCATGTAGACAATATGCTTCAAATCTTACAGTATAGTACATGCTCCAAAGTGTTAGATGCTATTATCCTTGTCAAATTAGAGTATTAATATTTCATACCCCTTAAAAAAAACTAGTATTTCTTAGGTTTGGGGAAAAAAGAGTCTTTTAAGTCTGTCTTTGGATAACAGCCTGGTGGAAAGATCTAGATTGTATAAACAAATAACGTAGACAGTCATTCTTATGCATAAAAACGCGTGGTTTGTAATTATCATTAATTATATTTTAACACTTGGCACACGTCTGCGGAACCAGCTAGATGAAGTTGATACGAAAATAACAAAATTATTAGAAAGAAAGCATTTTTAAACTATTTTTTTGTCATTAACAATGATTTTTATGAGATATCTGAAAAAATTATCGAAATACTGTAATTAAGGTATCAGGGTACCCCTAGTGACCAGTGTGGATTCAACTCTATATAGCGTAAAAACTAAATGACAGATTGTTGACAAGTCATGTCAGCAATAAATTATTTGAGAGTAGCATGTAGCAAAAAAAAATTTTTTTTGTTTATTACTCGCCATTAAAATTTGCTATTGGGAATTAATTTTTGGGAAATAATTGCTTATCGTGCATTCTCTTGGAAAATGGAAAAAAACTAAAAATCAACCTTTTATGGCAATTTTGCTCCAGTTTGTCTATGCCCTAATGTGTGAATGCGAAATCTGAGAAACAGTTCTATGCAATAAAGACTAATTTGTATTATAAAATATTTGAGATAGAGCGCAAACAATTAATCCGTGAAACACTAATTRCTAAATAGTACAAAATAGTGCTAATTAAACAATAGAAAACAATGGAATTTGCATGAAATTGTGCTATTTAGTATTACTAAAGTTTCACGGATTTACTGTGGTCACTATATATCACCAAAGCAATATTAAATGTTTCTTTATATGTCTCTGTATTATGATACACTCTGGGAGCTGTTAAGCACTCAAGAAGCAAACGAAACACTTGGCTACACCTCATGTTCCTATGCATGCTTCCCTCCTGCTCTATAGCTCCCAGGGTGTTCATACAGTATCACAGCACAGAGATATGCAAATGTGTTAAATTTAATCCTTATCTACATAACAATGATAAAACAATAGAAAACAAATGAATATTATTATACATTGCAGTTTTTGTGAAATTTAATTAATTGAATGCAAAATAAATTTAGTACTGCGTGCCATTGTTGTAGAATGACCAACTTGAGGTACTATAACAGGTGTTCATTTATAGTTTAGATTTTCCCTACTTCATCAATGGATATAGAAGTCCAAGCAAGTGAGAAATTGAGATCCCAGTTTATTTACCAGTAATTAGCACCTTTTCTAATGAGATTTGTATATGGTTTTGTAAAATTTATGCCTCCGACTCGTGATTGTATAGTCAATACAACACAGCCACTTATATTGTAAATATAACATCAACTACCTGAAGATAAATTATAATATTATCTCTTATGCCTGATTAAATAGTCACTTAGCGAAATAATACAACCTTCAATTAAATTGTATTTCTTCTTGCATGATCATTTTTTGTTTAAAAAGGTGACAGAATCAGAGTAAAATATTACTGTTTTTCTTTGCATAATTTGTGCTCCATACCATATTGTTTATAAATATTAATTATGATCTAAAATAACAAAAATTTACATGTATACTAAAACTTACTATTTGCATATTATTATAGAGTATACATGTACAATGATATGATGCTATCATTTTATTTGTTTTTCAAGTTAATACAGCCTTGATTATAAAGATTTGATAGAGTACTGTCACCTTTGAAGTTTTTTTTCCAATACTGATAGATCTACACTTATGTATACTGTATATATAATGCTGAAAAGGATATCTTAAACAACAAGCTAAATACATGAAACCAAATAACCTTGTCATACTGACCTAAACCTACAAAACGCAACCAGAAACCATGTAACAGAGCATTATTCTGCCTGACCTTTATACCAGGAGGATATGATAAACAACAAAATTAGGCAACTTCCTCAAGAGATTTGCTACCTATGAGGCACATCTCAGCATGTTAGTCTGCTTGCTATGCTTGTAACATGTCTTGAATCAACTACTCTAAATTGAGCATGCATACTATGACAGGAATTAGGAGTCATGTAGTAGTTATGAGATCACATTTCTGGTTTAAAGCTTAAAAATTTTTGTAACAAAATAAATGAAATTTTAAAAAATAAACTAAGCATGGACAAGTGCTTAAAACTGAAACGTTCAATGGCTTAATCCTTATTATTTCATATATTTCATGCACAAAGCGTTATCTGATTTGCAAATAGAAAATAACTTATCAATACTGAAGACAAATTTCTAGAATAAAAGAGACAAAGATCTAAAATGTTTTCAAAATTTTCATTCTTATTTTCTTGACTTTTAAAGCCTCATTATAGATATGAATTATGGTACTGTTAAAAGAATGGGCTCATCTGTTTAATATTTTATGCTTGAGAGAAGTAGATAATATGAGTAAAAAGAGCAGCAAGATAGGGGGTAAACAATTACATATTGAAAATATAATGGTTACAGGAGCTGAAAACAGAAATCGTTGGAACAAACAACATATTATATAAGCAAACATCAGCAAAGCCAAACTTTAATGCACTAAAAACATCAATAGAAGATACCAAAACGAAATTTAAAATCTACTGTAATTGTAATATACTGTGCAAGCAAGTACATTTAGTAATATAAAACAAAACTTGACCATAAAGTTATCTGGTTATCTAACTTCTCATAATATATTTTGAATATATTTTGTAAATGAAATTGGAATTCAAAAGTTCTATAAAAAAAGGATCAAAACCTAGTATTGAATAACTCTTGGTAAAGGCTTTTGTTTATTTATGACTAGATAATTAAACCCACATGAGCTAGTGTAAATTTTGTAAATACAGTTTGTTTTCATAACATTGAAATGAATGAACTATGTCATACATCAATGTAAATACACTTAAAATTATCAAAGAATAGTGAATGGGTTAAAATATTCTTACCTTAGATTGCTTCCTTGATTTGTTTCAAATACACAGTGCGATGATAAATAAAAAAATGCAAAGAATAATATTAGTATCAATGAATGAAAATGCTTTTAGATTTTAACACTTCTTGGTACACATAATTTATAAACTATATGAAGGTACTATTCCTATTGAATTGTTTATATGACCATTTTCTTAAGTGCATAGAAAACAATCAATGAAAAACGCGGAGGATAATTTATTATTAGTGGTCATTCAAACAATGTACATGTAGTTGTGTCTATGTATGGTTGGAAAAATAAAAGAACAAGATGATTTTTGAATAAAGGAGTTGACAAAGTATTCTATAAAATGTACAGATATTAGAGTGAAATGTTCATTTATTAGAAATAACTGTTATAATAACAAAGCATACTCCTGTAGACTTCAACGCTTCCTGTTTGCTCATATATTACAAAGTGTGAAAATTTCTTAACTTACACATAATTTAGAGCTATTTAATACTATGGAAAAATCTAGTATCTTACTGAGATGTAACTACGCCTTTTTAGAAAATCATTATTAAATTTCTTCAAATATTAACAATGGTTCCAAGTGATTAGAAGATTAGAAAAGATTAGAAATCTTCGTTGAAGTTTTCAAAAAAAGTACAATTATTGAAAGACGATAAAATTATGAAATATCGGTTACAGAAGCACGTAAAGAAAATACTCCAGTATTTAGCTTATTTTAGATTTTTGTCTTTCATTTGAATATGTCCAGGATTTAGATTTATGGTAAAGAAGACGAGATAGGGTTGATATATTGTAGGAAACCATCAAAGCCCGATACTAATATTGTAGTTGAATTTATCTTCTCGAAATCCATTCTTATCATACTATATTCTGTTACGACAAAAATGATTTACGCAACACTTATATATATAACATCTATTTGTCAAATAAAACCCTCCTAAAGAAGAACCAATGGACGTTAGACTTAAGAATGAATGAAACTCCTTCGAGTAAGAGAAAACGTAGTAAATTGTATATCTTGAGAGAACTCCCTCGAAATTATTCCAAGATTTTAATGCTAAAACCGTGATTAGATCGTCTGCACACCATGGAATATGATTCAGCAAGAATTTAAAAATCAAGAGGAAAAGATTCTGAGAAAAATAGATAAACCTCAGGCTTAAGTATGAAGAAAAACATTTGAAATGACCAATGATTTTAGAAAAAAAATTATAATAATATAAATTATACAAATAAAATTAGCTACGAACTTGTCTGGAGAATGAAGTACAGTTTGATTTCCATCCACCATATCAACCACGACTTTATCTCCAAGGTCAATCTCTGCAAGGAAAAGAGAAGAATCAGTAAAATACAGCAAATGTATATGAATGTTTCAGCTTTGGAAAACTTAAACCATTGATTTTAATTCACAAATGAACACAAACCTCGCCGGTTTAATGGCCGAACTCTCACAGCCACCTTGACTTTGGAGCCCATTTTATCTGCCTCTAGTTATTTAACCAAGGATTTATAACGACAGACTTCAAGTATGGTAGTATGAAATTTTTACTCTTCATTCCTTGATGAATGTTCTTCATTGATTATGACCTCAGTGGTCGATATAGCGAAAAATAACTCCATCACATGTCTAACGCCGCCATATTTCCTTTTTCTACAAGTAGCATCCGGGAACTGCCTATGCAAATAAAGGGCCAGTCACCCGTAGTCAAGGACTGGAACACGGGTACCTGATACTTCGTTTATTCGATCCCGTTTTTCTTTTTCCTTTCTTTCCCATAATTTGCTTGATTTTCTAAAATTTAGATTACGATTAAGATTCGAAATTTAATGAGGAAATAAAGACAGAAAGATAGGGGGGGGGGGGGGGGGGGGGGACCAGGGAAAATAAAGAAAGAAAAAGGGGTAAAATAGCATTAATCTCATACTAAAAGAAACTAATTGTATTTCAATATCCGGTAGTACTATACTACACTTAGAAAAGCTGCCAATCAAATGTTCATGCATCAGTTCGACAAAAATAATGATATTTACCTCAAATCTTAATAAAAATAGATGACTAGGAGAGAATGTTCGTTACTAGGCAACCGTACCTGCATTACCTGGAGAGAGTACTCTGAATATAAAGAGCATTTAACTGGTAAGGTTAAGAGAGAGACATTTGTATTCTTTTCTCCTCTTGATTGTGTTCAAAATTATTAAATACATTCAAATTTCTTTCCTGGCTCGCTCGATCAATAATCTAAGGCTTCATCAAAAAAAAACTTGTGTTTGAGCAGCTCGGGCCAATCAAATCTCAGAACAAAGCTGGCAATTATTTTACCGGAAATGAAAACTGAAAATGATCGACTGAGAGACAATACCAATACGTCTTTGAATAATCCGCGCTTATCAGATATGTATGCCAGTAATCAGTCAGGTAGCTAAGTTCTAAATTGTGCCTTTTCATGGTAACAACGTTTAAGGTGACTGCCTACTTTTGGAAAAAAAATATTAACCTTTTTTTAAAACTTCGATTTTCCGAATTGAAATTTAATGCTGATTCCAAATCTGGAAAGAAAAAATTGGGTGTCCCCAGCTTGTTTTCGAGATAATCAGCATTTAATGGAAGCCTACGCGCGAGCTTTTTGGGCAATTAAACTTGCGCCACCGGAAGTGATTAGAAAAAATTAAGATTCATAAGATCATAGTTATTAGCATACTATATGATTGCACGAATGACGGCTAGTCAATCATTCTACAATAATACGCGGATATTTTCGACAAAAAGACAAAGAGATACATTGATTTGTCATATTTTGTAGTTTCGGTGCTCTTTAAAAATCTCACAAGTCGAACAAAAATCTCTACAAAAATCTATTTTTTCGTGTTAGAAAAATTAACTTTTTCTAAAATGTTGATATAACCTAGATTTTTAGGAGTTTTTTCCGGAATAAGCTATTAAAAAAATTGAGAATCCCGTGCAAAATTTGAGGGTTTGCCCTGTTGAAGCTCAAAACGCGTATGGTTCTTCAGTACTCTTGTAGATTTTTCAGCGGTTTTTGAGAGCGCGCACATCGTGGGCTCAAATCGAACGTTCAAAAGTAGGCAGTCAACTTCTATCTCTACTGACTTAGACCAGCTCAAGATGCAGGGTTTCATTGATTCAATATATATATAGACCTTTATCTCGAATTCGCTTCGAGTTTGGACTTGATGCGGTTATATATACATTCATTGTATTTCGTGAAGTCCTACCCTGCGAGCAGAGTCTCCTGCGTATAGGAGTTAAAAGGAGACTCTGCTCGCAGGGTAGTGAAGTCCAACCTCCACTCTTGGAACATTTTTTTTTTTTGGTCACTCAAGCCAATTCGGTAAAGTTATATTGGCGATGTTTTTTTCAATATCAATAGATTCAATCAGTTGTTGTTGTTGTTGTTGTTGTTGTTCTTGTTGTTCTTGTTCTTGTTCTTGTTCTTGTTGTTCTTGTTGTTGTTGTTTCAATCAATGTCATGCATGTATATTTGAAATTCAGTAATTAATTGAAATCAATCAAGTTATATTAGTTTTGCGTACCGGCCGGTTTATGATTTGCCGTTGTTGTGCGTGTTGACGTCATAACCCTCTCACGATGCGTCTTTCCCTTTTTCGATAATCTACAGTCATCTTATGCTGCATTCATTTTATTATTAGCTTGACTGAATCCACAGTCTTTTTTATTTTGTATTTTATCATTAGCTTGCCTGATTGGCAAGTTTCTTTATTTGCTTTAGAAATGCCATGTACCTGATTGGACTGGCCTTAGAAGCCCCTCTCGTGGATGTGAAGATTCAAAGCCGCTTAAATGATTATTTAGTGACCCACTGACTTTACGTGGTAGACGTGACTGGCCGCTTTATTTATCAATTGATCATTTCTTCTTCTTCTTCTTCGTCCATTGAAAATAAACAGCACGGTAATCGTAATACCCTGCGAGCCATAAAGGTCATGATCATTAGGCGACTAGTTAAACTCCTTATATATAACGTGCACTGAAGAATTGCTGTAGTCTCGTGAGAAAACAGACGTATTTTCCGTCGCTACCCCCAGCCGCTGGGAATCAAATTATTTTTTCCTTCGTTTTTCATTGGCCGAGACAACTGCAAATAACTGCCTGCAAATAATATTATGCTCATGCGCTTTACGATGCAAAGCCGTTTCGCTGAATCTCGTACCCAGATCCTGCGTTTCTTCTGGCCTGCGGCGAAAAACTAGGGCTCTGGCATAGTCCATTTTTTGAGACCAGGATTTCTTGGACTTCCGGTATAAGAGCGCTTACGTTAAAAGACTTGCCAAAAACAAAATACACGTTCCCGATTTCTGATTCTTATTTCGGATCGGAAATAAAAACAGAACTCTGTTTGAAAGCATGATTTTAAATGATTAAATTTTAACTTCCCGAAAATTGCGCATGCGTCAAAAAATGGATTATGCCAGAGCCCTCGTTCTTCGCCGCAGGCCAGAAGAAACGCAGGCTTTGGGTACGAGATTGTGGATAATCCATTTTTTGGCGCATGCTTAATTTTCGGAAAGTGAGATATAGCCAGAAGAAACGCAGAAGAAACGCAGGCTCTGGGTACGAGATTGGCTGAAATAATACTCTGCTCTTAAGCCAGCAAAAGTCAATTGCTATAAAAACTCATTTTTCATAAGAATCATCCATTCTTGGAATAACCTAACTAAAGTAGTTGAGGCCGACATTTTTTCCGCATTCAAAAACAAGCTGAAGGCTTATTTAAGTATTTAATTTATTATTTTTATTTATTTTCAAAGTCACACATCACAATGACTTCAATAATTATATCAGTATACAATACGTACTATAGGCATATATCATTTTTCTCTAAAATTAGTGATTTAGATTTAGATTTCATCAGAGTATTTATGTTTATTGATATCACACCGCTGCTTTTGTTTCGTTTGTATGTTTGCATTTAGGGAGTTTTTTCTACATATAGCTAACCTCTAAACTTCCTTTCGGGCAAGAGTACCCCCCACCCCGGGGAATCGAGTAACATGATCTGATATCCTTGATCCTATCGTCACTAGTGCTGACAACCATTCCTAAAGAGACCAATGTTTTGCTCTGAAGTCACTATAATTCTCTTCAGAGAAGAAGACTGCTGTGACTTCAAGTGAACTGCAAAGTCAACATTGAAATATCTTGCCACGCAGAACGTCAGCATATTTGCTGGAAAACTCTCTGTAATGAGATAGACTTATCAAGTTTAGTAAGTTAAGGGTCGTTTATTAAGTTGTTGGCTATCAGAGCATATATATATTGATAGTATCAGTCTATCAGCCAAGTCCATCGATATCAATAAAATGGCTGCCCAACAAGAAAACTGCGAGGAAAATCTCCTTCAAAGGATTAGTACAACAGGATGGTGCAAGAGATCTAAAATCTTATTTGTAGCTGCTCTGCTGTTCGTCGGCTTCTGTACCGGACTCCTTACGGGGGTTTTTCTTACAAGGAGTTCAAATGAAGATGAAGCCATCCAAGACAAGAAAGGTATATATACACTCGACGTACGTAAATATCTTGCGCTGGCGTACGTACGTGTGCCTTATTTATGCCAGGCTTGTCATGGCTAAATGTTCCTTAGTTTTATTTGTTATCTCATTAATCCACATTTCAAAATTATGCGTCTTTGAACTGTCAAAGATAAAATATTTCAGGTAAGCATATATGATCTTTATAGGACGGATCTCTAACACTGATCACATCTAGAAGGATACATATACACTACGGTGACGTGGATCGATCACCAGCTAAGATAGAATCGCCTTTCATCTGTCATCTAAGTCTTTAAGAACCATGTTAGATGAACACCAGTTTTACTTCAGTCGAATGATCTCGAATTCTGCCCCTTCTCTAGTGGTTCTCGAAACGATACGGGTTTTAATTTTCCACCCTTCGCAAAACCTATAACGTGCAAAATGAGTACAAATATAATACAATTAGCCATGCCCTGGTATGAGTCAGCCCAGCCAGTTTGTTTCGAAGTTCGTTCTATGACTTAACAAGGGCGGATCCAGCCAAACTTTTACCACCGGGGGGGGGGGGGCTAATTCAGTTTCTTCCATCAACACAACGGAAAACGATTAAAAGAGCATCTAATTCTTCAGTTTTGTTTTGTTTTGTTTTCTGCTGAAGGGGGGCTTCAGTCCCCCTTTGCCCCTCCCCCTGGATCCGCCCTTGTTAATAACCATCCATTGCTTAGATCAGCCCAGTTCAAAAAACCAAGAAGCGAGCATACAAATCCGAGGAAAAGAAAGAAATGCATAATTTCAGTACAGCGGCGTAGGGAAGGATGGATTAAGGAAAATGGGCAGCTCACCCTTTTCCAAACATTTTGCCAGCTGACTTTTTTAATATCTAGATTCTTCGTCACGAACACGTCGAGATGCTGATAGCAAAGGTCTGTCAATAGAAGACGTGCATATGGCGATCAAGCTTCACCTGAAATCCTTGAAGGCGTCAGACATCTGTAAGCCGAGAGATACTATTTGTTTACCAGGTTTGTTTTAATAGTAGTCCTTATCAATCATGCATCCCGTCTCATTTTATTTCAGAAAATCAGCCATACCTCCATTATTCCTCCCTCCCTCCCTCCATCCCTCCATCCCTCCATCCCTCCCTCCATCCCTCCATCCCTCCCTCCATCCCTCCCTCCCTCCCTCCTTCCTTTTTCCTCCCTCCTTCCCTTCCTCCCTCCCTCCCTCCATCCCATCCATCCCATCCATCCATCCATCAACCCACACACGCATTATATAATTCTATATCCTTTCTTTTATAACAATCTTTCTCATACCTTTACCCTTTCTAACTCTTCAGAATACCAAAGCTGAAACCATCAAAATAGATGGATGGGTAAAACAGGTATGTAGCCAACCTCATGACCANTCCGTCCGTCCGTCCGTCCGTCCGTCCGTCCGTCCGTCCGTCCGTCCGTCCGTCCGTCCGTCCGTCCGTCCATCCATCCATCCATCCATCCATCCATCCATACTCACCGCTTCATTCTTTGCAACTATATGCACGCAGGACCGAAAGGTGAGCCCGGCCTGCATGGAATTCAAGGACCGCGTGGCAAAATTGGCCGTAAGGGAGATATAGGTGATCAAGGACCCACTGGGGTCAGAGGAATGCCCGGTCCATCTGGTCCATCCGGTACACCAGGAATGCTCGGACGACCGGGCAGACCTGGAGAAAGGGGATATCAAGGGATTCAAGGACCGCCAGGCTTCCCCGGTGCACCAGGATTAAAAGGACAAAAGGGAGACAAAGGTCATAGGGGAAGACGAGGGCCCACCGGTGAACGGGGCGAAATAGGACGACGTGGATATCCAGGAAAACATGGACCTAAAGGAGAAACAGGGGCACCGGGTATGACAGGGTTAGCAGGTGTACCCGGGTTCAAAGGAGACCGTGGTATACCCGGTAAATCTGGAAAATGTAAATGTAGGGGATTGGGATAAAAGCTGTTACGGAAATAGACTTTTGCCATAAATAGTATTCAAACACATTTAATCTAAGCAGTGTAGTGAATGTTTTGTTACTTTAGCTTTACTTTTAACTATCCAAGAACAAAAAAGTGGATTCACCATTTGCAAAAATATAGATTGGACTTACTTTTAAGTGCCAAATACTTACCCCTCTCAACCCCTCTGTTTCGTGTGCACGCTCTAGATCTCCTGGGCCTAGTTGTACGAAGGGTGAAGGGTGATCCGACGGATAAATCTTATCCAGTGCGGATAAGTCTATTCGATAGCAGCAATCGACTTATTCGCAGGATAAGGATTTATCCGACAAATAGCGCTATTCACCCTTCGTACACCTTCCCTTTGGGAATGAGATTGCTTCAGAAAGACTGTCCCACGTTTTCAACCAAAAATGTAGTGTTCAAAGTTCAAGTAGATTTTAAGCTCGAGCCTAGCTCGCTCGCTTCTCGTCCAGGAAAAGTGCGGAGTGCGCAGAGTCTGGAAATATTGGGAATTAGCCCACACTTGCTAGCGACAAACGTTAACTTTACGCATGATCGTTTTCTCGAACTCAGGAATTCTTGGGGTGCAACCACACGACTCCAAATCCCTTGAGATATAAATAACAATGAGACAGTCGGCATGTTGGTTGATCTAACAAGAGAAGCTAATGAGAAATTCTTTGTTATCGTCAACCATTATGGTGGCTATATGATGTAACATGTACCCCAATCATATTAAAAATTGCACGAATATGCTTTTGCGAGCCGCCCAAACTCCATTTGACTAACGCAAGTTTCAAAAAAAAATTGTATATTACAATCGCAATTAAATAGTTTAGAAACAGTTTACGAGCAAAAGCAAACCTTTTTCACTCGGAATAAAATAGGAACCCACTTTTTCTTTTCTATTTCCTATCTGCCAACAGGCTCCCGATGCCTATTAGTTTTGAACAGGAAATTGCTAATAAGTGTATGAACAAGAGGACATTTAGAATTTATACTGATACGAAATTTGTATTTACATTATACACCAAGGGCTTGAACAGCATGACATTAAAGACGTTAACTAAAATCAAATATATCAAATAGCTCAGAATTATCAAGTGTTGTATCTACTTATTAGAGAGCACAAACAAGACTGATTACTTTAGCTTGTGATTGGTCAACGAACTGCACCAGTCAATCAATCACATGGGTTATTCATAACTTGGTGTTAAATTACGAAACGCCCTTATTGATTCAGGTGTAATCGCAATTTGTATTTTCATGAATTAAGCTGAGCTTTTCGGAGTGTTTTAGGGCTTCAGCTTCCTTATGTAGACTTTAAAGCTTTTGAATTTCAAGTTGTACAGAATATACGAAGTGAGAAATACGTCGCTGGCAATTGTGGAAACGAAAGGCTTGCCGGATTTGACAAGACGCATTACGAGGAAAGTACCATTTAGCTTTAAATCATTTACAAGAAAAGAACTTTGTGTTTAAAACTCGAGTTCAGATGAGCTGTTCAAGGCAAAGAGCAAGATATATAGATAGTACGTGGGGGCTTTGTTGGTGAAATTTGAAGAAGAGAAATCCTTCTTGAGGGAAAAACATCTGGTACGATGTTGCAAGTTTTGATTTTTCTGTAGCCGGGTACGGTTCCAAAATGATTCTGATTGGAAGGGATACAAATTCATCTGAATGTAAGAACAAGATATAAGTATATCATATATATGCTCTCTAGCGAAAAATATATAAGTGACAACTGAAAAGGAACTTATAAAGAAATTATCTGGAATCAAAAGAAAAAAAGACTAAAATTTGGTTATATAATGGACACATGAAAACAGCTGCGGCTTCCTACAGAGCATTGTCAGTCTTAGACTTGACGTTATGCTTGAATTCGAACCCTTAAATTAACGCGCACTAGCCAGACCACACATTTTCCAATCAATTTGAGTACTTTTATCTTGTGTTTCACTGGAAACTTTAATTTCGCGCTGTCAGCTTTCGCTGTATCCGGTGGCGCACACTGTGACTGAGTTTGGGCCATTTTTGAGTGTTCGAATCCTTCCTTCAGAAGCAAAAATGTCCAATTCACAAAATGACGACCGCGTATTTTCAAACATAAGTACACAAACCGAACAAGATAGCAAAGAACACTACCAATATAGCAACTACGGTATCAGCGGTCAGGGAAGCAAGATTGAACACATTATCTTAACTTGTGCGTACACCATTGTCATCTTAGCAGGACTAATTGGTAACCTGCTTGTCATACGAGCAGTCAAGATCAACCAGTCAATGCACACGACTACAAACTTTCTTATCGCCAATATTTCAACTGCAGACCTCATCACAATGTTGTCTTGTCTTCCTTTCGTTATTTTGAAATTCTATAGCCACCCAGATGGAATGGTTGGAAAAATGGTCTGTATCCTCATCACGAAGAATAACTTATCTTGCATTACCTTGTCGGTATCGATCATTTCGCTATGCATCTTGGCCGTGGAGCGCTACCATGCGTTGATCAAACCAATGCAACATCGATTGCGAATGAACAAAGACAATGTTTTATACGTAGTGTTTGCTATATGGCTTTCTTCCGTGGTGATCGCTCTTCCTCTGCTTATATACACCGACTATGACCAACAGCTTCATCGCTGTCAGTTCACTTTCAGTTCTCAAGTATACTGGATTGCAGTCGGTACCGTAACTTTTCTCATCCTTGTTACCATCTGTTATTGTTACTTCAAGGTTTTACGAGAAATTTACCGCAAAAGGATACTGGGGACAATACCAGGAATAACGCCACAAACACGTATCAATGAGGTCAGAAGTAGAAGGAAACTTGTCAAGCTTTTGCTGATACTTACATGTGCGTTTGTCTTCTTTTTCACCCCAAGGCTTGTCTACCTGTTTTTCGCATCGATGATACCAAATGACGTTCGTTTATCATTTCGTAGATTGTCATTCTTTCTAATTGTTTGTAATTCCTGTGTGAATCCTATCATTTGCGCTTTTCAAAGTGAGAATTATAGAAGTGCATTCGAGAGGATGCTTGGATTCAGGAGCAGACGGATCGAGGTTGAACCGTCTTCTTTTTCGATGAGAAGAGTGGAGAGACAATTGACTTTTAAATCTCTTAGGTTTCAGGAATCTCAGTGTTAATGCTTGAGGAAATGATAATCGAAGAAAGACTGAACATTATCAAAGTAACAACAACAAAGAAATTCCATGCTTTAATCAAGAAGAGGAACTCTCAAAAATAGAACAAACTTCGGCAACGAAATATCGGCAAATTAGAATCAAAGACAAATAGCATACATAACAGCATTAACAACAGAAGAAACACCAACAACTGCGTCAATATGAACAGCAGTAACAATAGCAACCACAACAACGTAACAGAACCCACTCGATAACAACAGCAACAACAGAAAAAACAACAGTAGCAGCAGAAGGAAGAGCACCAACAACCGCATAAAACAAGGCTAATAACAGAAAAGAAAGGAAGGAAGGAAGAAACAAAGAAAGAAAAGAAAGAGAAGGTGGACCCAAATACAGGTGCATTTCCCTGGCAATCACTTCCTGTTGTAGGGCAAGAACAAGGTATGACAAAAGAGTTTTATTTCCAAAAGAAAGATAACCTTATTTCTTTGCCTCACAACGAGAATGCCATAAAACCCTTCTGGACGGAAATTAAAAGAAAAAGAAATAGGGAGAGAAAATTAAAATAGCCTATTGAAAGATGATAGAAACCATCTGACACAGCAAAAGGTATAAGTTTTCATAACAAGCATGTGTCAGTTCATGCTGAACAGGTTAGTTTTCTATGCAAACAACTCGCCATCACATGTAAACTGGACCTACATTAGCGGAAGCAACTAGAATATCAAGTGTAAACAGCACAGATATTCAAATCGACAGCGCAAGCCTGGACTGAATACACGAAAAAAAACATATTGATCGGCGAAAAATTAACAACTGCAAATAAAGACGACTAGACTGAAAAGGAATCATTTATTTATTTATCATTTATTATGGAATTATTATAGAACAATGTCGATAATAAGTTAGTCACGCCCTTGGTGTAAGTGTTGTGATTGCTATCAAGTTTTTCGTGTCAACTAAGAAATCATAATTAATTAAAGAATAAATCCTAAAGCTTAAGATTATGATGCTTTGTGGAGGGTGCAAGAGAAAAACCTTAGAGGTTAAACACTAGCTCTGGCACCCTAAAATGACACAGAAGAAAACAGCAAAGAACAGAGTGTGTAAGGTGTATAAGGTGTATAAGCGAAGAAGCGAATAGGACTAAGCTAGGAGCGTATCCAGATTTTTTCCCCTTTTACTACAGTGCGGTTTTCGATATTCTGCAAACTCTGGCATTTTAGCGCCTTGCTGAGAAGTTGGTTTTTCACTGCCGCCAGTCAAGAACATAAAAGGTACAGATTGATTACTTTTGATTGACGGCAACAAAAAACCAACTACTTCAACGTGCAGCTTGTAACTATTGCGGAGAGTTCGCAGAATATCGAAAACCACAGTCACATAGCATGCACCAGGATCTTTTATCAAGAGACTACTACATCATCATTAGTCTGAACTAAGATGAGAGTATGTGGACCACGTGGCACTAATGAAATAGTAGAAGATAATATAGGTAAGTTGTAGTGCTTGTATATTTTAGCCTGTGCTATACCAATGAGTAGCGTACGTATCCGCCCTCGAGAAATCGTGTCGGTATCGTGGTGTTTTGAGCAGGACGGGGACCGAGAAGAAGGATTCCCTCCTTCCAAGTCCCCCGACCAATCCCAACGATTTCTTGAGGCCGATCATATATACGTAGGCTAGAAAACAAGCTAAACGAAGCAGTGTGGAAAATGACGTCATAACCACCAAAACGAAAATCGGCTAAATCAACTAACTTCGTATTTTTTGTCAAAAGAAGGAAGGAATCTGAGTCAGCAAACTAAAAAGCTCTATCAGTAGCAAAACGTTAACGCCGGTCATCATCAATTTGACTCGTTACCGGTACTAGCGACCTTATAGATACGAAGACGAGTACGAGATCGAGTACGAGTACCAGTTTTAAAATTGGTCCTGTGCACGTGGTTAACACTAAATCGTAGTCGTCGATTTCCCATTTTTTACCATCTGAAGTTTCAATCTACGTACACGATCACGACTACAAAAAGATAGTGCCTCTCTTTAAAAGTTAAACACTTGTACTCGTACTCGTTCTCGTCCCGGGGGGGGGGGGTACTCCCCTATTTTGCTATACGGGTATGTGCTGCCCTATAGGGCATGGTTTTTCGGCTTTTGGGTCTGGGGTAGGGTTAACGATTTGGTCGTTTTTGTATGGCGAATAGGCTACGCTTTCTGCCGACCAAAAACAATAAAAATGTTAGTAAATATTGATCGCAATCGATTGTAAAACCGTATTTTCCGTCTTTTAGTCTGGGATAGGGTGTACGATTCTTAGTTTTAGTCTGGGGTAGGGTATGTAAAATCAAAATTTTAGGTCTGGGATAGGGTCACGGTTTTGAGGTCCTGGCGGCACACCCCTACCCAAGTTGGGGTGGTAGTACCCCCCCCCCCCCCCCCCCCCCCCCCCCCCCCGCCGTCGGATCGAAAGGTCTCTAATATTAAGCAGGGNGGTTTTGAGGTCCTGGCGGCACACCCCTACCCAAGGTGGGGGGGGAGCCCCCCCCCCCCCCCCCCCCGGGTTCTCGTACTCGTCGTCGGATCGAAAGGTCTCTAATATTAAGCAGGGACTTAACAATCTTCTAGCTATGAAGAGGAACCTTGGTTTGGCTTTGTTGCTGCTGCTGGACCGGAGGATTCTGTTGAATAAAATAAGTAAATAAAAGTAATCAGATGTAGATTGGGTTAAGGGTGTGTCGAGGACTCAGGATGCATGTGATCATGCCAAAACCGAAATAGTTAATTGCTTCATTAAGAAATGTAAACTAACTGACAATAAAGATCTATTTGAGCTTGCTACGATAAGAATACTTTGACCGAAAACTCAGCGAACGGCAGGGAGAAGCTTGAGTTCTACAAATTTCAATCATGTAGTCCGTGATTCTTCATGACAGTCACGCATAAATAGCGCATAGCGCTTGGATCTCATTGCAGAAGAAGCTGACAGTACGAGCAATACTGAAAATAACGCCCACAAAAACTTACACCGTAATGAGGTGGAATGCCACTTTGTTCAGTCATGGGTCCACTGATTTGGGCAGGTACCGCCACAGGGTTCCCATCAGGTCCCTGGATGATAACGTATCCAGCTGGAGGACTTCCGACTTGTGTTTGCATGTAGACAATTTGTCCGACTGGTACCTATTTATATAAGATAGTATTTGTAACTTTAATCATATACTCTACAAATATATTTTAAATTAATCTTTAGTCATGATAATCAAGTAAATAATTACTACATGATTAGAATAAAATACTAGTAGTTAACCGTAGTAAACACCAAAGGGTTCAAGGCTTCGGAATACGTGTATAGTCTTACGATAGTTTGTTTTATTCTTGAAGGGTGTTTTCAGATGCACATCCGGCCTCCCCTTTAATTACCTAAGTTAAGAGCATAATCTTTAGCACCATCAAGGACCGCCCGTGCCGTTTGTAATTTGGGATTTTAACGGAAACTCCCTCAAGTCCATCTCATGCATAATACAACGTCAAGAACAAAATTGACAGTGTACATCCCAGATTCATTTACACCTAAATTTACACTCACCGTTTGTGGTTGTCTACCACTAAAAGCCACACAGCAACAAACAGACGCCCAAATCCCGATAGCAAACTCCAGAATACTGAGGATCAGGATCAGGATGCTCATCACATAATCTGTCCCATTGTAATAATTGTAATAACTGTACCCATAAAAAAATGGCAATTGAAAGAGAGTACATAATGATCATGGCGGCAGCGAACACAGTCGATGTGATGGAAAATCCCAAGTAGACACCAATCTGAAAATAATTAATATTAAACGTGTCAATATTTTTTTTTTCTTATTGTCCGGTAGCCAATGTCAACGAACTCCCGTTTCGAAGACAGTGTTAGCATCGATTTCGTTTGATACGTGGAAGTTCGAAGTGTTTGTATTGTTGAAGTTTCGTATTCTCGTTCTATAAAACGTTTTGCACAATATTTACCACAAATTCATGCAATAGAGGCTTTGCACCATCACATGGTGGCAGCCATGACAGGAGGTACAACAATAGAGTTACGTCTTTAATTCTCCCCTGGAAAACTGAATCCTTTCTCTGAATCTCGGAATATTGAGTCGGCAACAAAATGGCATCTGCCGGCAATCGTTTTGCTACAATTTCCGATGAGGAAATTGAAAAAATGAAAGTAAATGCCATTCCTGAATGCTAAAAAGGCAACGAAGTATGGCCTAAAAGTTTTGCTTAAAAGTTTTGCTAAACGTTTTGCGTGAATTTGTTTCGCAAACTAAAAGTTTCTGTTAGTTTGTTTTAATTGAATTATTGTATATGAAAATAAGTTACTCTTTACACAAGTTGATATATGCTAAAACAATTATTCGCCTCAGGCTCAGTGAATATGGAGAATATTTACCTCGCCGCTCGAAGACTAGCGTCTCGGTAAATATTCCCGATATTCACTTCGCCTTCAGCGAATTATTGCTAAATATATACACACACACTTGATTGCAGAAAGAATACTAAATTACTAATGTTCTATTCTTGTATGACAACGTTCTTGCAAGTAGGTGTATATATTTTTTTTACATTCTCATCTCGCTGAATCAGAGGGTTTAAAATTACTACTAAATCACGATAGTCTGGAAAAAAATTCTTGGAAGTTGAAAGACTATGTTTGAATAAAAGAAAAACTGCAAGCGATGGAAAAACACCTTCGACACATCAGACTGTATGGTGTTTTTTATGAATTTATTTATACCATATTAAGACTTAACTTATTCAGTTTGCTGGCGAGACTCGTAAATTGAAGGTCGGAGAAGGAATTGAAGGTTAAAACCTTCGATTTCGACGGTGTACTAGCGAGTCGGCTGGTCACAGATATGTGCTATAACACACACAGATTTTTTTAAGATAAGTAATGTTCTCTTACCATGGGTTTGAATGATGTTTTTATTTTCGTGAAGATTCCAAGTAAGCCTGTGATGCCAATCTAATTAAAAAGGAAAATAACAATACGTCATTTAAGGAAAGTACATTCAAGAAGAAACGGCCTGCAACCAAGTCGGAGTTAAAAGGGCAAGGAAATTTGCAGAACAGAGAACGACTTGACATGAAAAATTGAAGATGCAGGCAGCTACATTGGTCTGTATTCTTGCCCAAAATGCTTCTTGATTTTCTCATTTTGGGAAATTAGAAATTAAGATATAAAAAAAAGTGTTTGAGTGGTTCGTACTTACCCATAAACCCATCCAAATAGCAATTACAGGAATGGATGTTAGTGTAAGACGGTGGCGTTGATCTGCTGAAGCTCGCTCACCTATGCCAAACATAAAACAGAAGCTACCAATTATCAGCTGTATTATTCCCGACACCAGGAGCTGTTTACGAGTTGCATTCATCGTCAAGTCTCTTTCTTTTAACAAGATATGAATCTGCTAATAGAACGGATCGATTCTTCTTCGACTGAATGTGTTTTGCTTGTGCTTCAGCTTTTTTTTTTTTTCCGAGAAGAACGTCATTATATTTCTCGATGTGTGGTGACCCTTGTCCAAAAGTCACGCTTGTACGTACGTAGAATTACCAAGGAAACGAAGCAACAGTAGACGTCACTGAAACAGCTGAAGATATATCGGTAATTCAGAACGCACATGATTATACTCTATATCAAGAGAATATGAACTAAGAGAAGGAATCCCTGTGCCCCATCATGTGCACACTTTGATGCTATTTTTAGAATCTATTCTGAAAATATCATCAAATGATATCATTTATTTGATCGTTTGATTTTCTGCACGCGCATAGTACGCGCGCGCTCTACGCTTTTTGCTAACGTTTTCTAGTGCTTTTCTTATGTTCAAATGTTCAAATCTGCCCTCAAGATGACGATGTAGGTCGAAAGCTTTGGGAAATAAATGTAAAAATACTGAAGGTTGAACAAATTACTACTTCAATTTCCTGTCGTAATTGCCAAGCTTTCGAAACAGCGTAGAGCGCGCGCAGTAAATGCGCGTGAGAAAAACAAATGGTGTAAAAATAGCATCAAACTGTGCACATGATGGTTACAAGGCTATATGGGTAGGATTCCTTCAGTCTCAGTTCATTTTTCTCTTGTCTATATTCTATACTCGGCGTAACGGGCACTAGGACACCTAAAGTGACTGGATTTTTAGTTTTCCCCCCGATTATGTAAGGTTGACTTTCGGTATTCAAATTTTGGTAGCAAACGAAACTCGTATAAAGGGTGGAGGGTTGATCTCGGCTCTTGTTCCTCGACCGACGACCAACCCTGCAGCTCGTCCCGGACGCGTATGCGTACTTTTGTCCCTCCAAAGTCTACGACGCTAAGAAGCAATGAAACGTGTTTACATAACTCTCGCAGTACCTTCTGGACGGGCTCCCAATTTGACGACCGTTTGCATTCCTGGCATAACTCCGGATCGAGCTGTTTGCCAAGAAGGCAAATCACTGTGGCGGTTTACGCATAAAATCGGATATTTTGGTGCAGATATTCTGGTTTGAGGGACCGAAGATCCGAGGATTGCTTTGGGCCTTAGATTATTTATCGAGAAAATGGATTCTGGAGGAATGTTAGCCAAAGGTTGAATTTTGAAGGAATTCCAGCCGATTGTGTATGAGGTGCGCGTGACTAGGCTACCCTCGAGAGTTTCCGATTTTCCTCTGTCCAGGCTCTCTCGAGAAAAAAACGGTTTTCGGGTGGCAAAACATTCGAGTCAGGAATGAAAATGGCGTCCAGAGAAGCCGGGTTGTGATACTCATTTGGGGATTGCTTTTCAAGAATAATGGTTTTGTTAATTCTGTTAAGATGATAGCGTGGCTTAGTTATCTCTCCAAAGTCCTGCAAAAGAAAGTTTCAACTGGAAGCATTTTTCGGCAAAATATTTGGCAAAGGGTTCGACCGTTCGACGGCCGTTTTTTCTGAGTCGTTTCCTACCTTCTCCTCTTTAGTGTGTGGTGGGGAAACGTCATCTAAACCCGAACGAAATGAGCTGTAATTAAACCATGGGGCTGTTCAATATATCAACAACACACGGTGGGAGTTTTATTTGA